TCGACCCGAAGTTTAAGAATCTGAAGTGCCTTCCAAAGTCTAAGAGGGACGAGGTATGGAGCATGCTTTTAGAAGTTTTAAAAGAGCGACACTGCGATGTGGAAACTACAGAACCTGAACCACCAAAAAAAGAAAAATAACCTTCTGCTGGTGGCATCTGTCTCAGATGCTGAAAATGAACATGTGTCGGTGCGCACTGCTTTGGATCGTTACCGAGGAGAACCCGTCATCAGCATGGACACATGTCCTCTGGAATGGTGGTTGAAGCATTAAGGGACATATGAATCTTTAGAGCATCTGGCACATAAATATCTTGTGATGCCGGCTGCAACAGTGCCATGTGAACGCCTGTTCTGACTTTGAGATGATATTATAAACAAGAAATCGGCAGCATTATCTCCTGCAAATGTGAGCACACTTGTTTGTCCGAGCGATTGGCTGAACAAGAAGTATGACTGAGTTGACTTATAGGCTCTATAGTTTTACATTGTTTTGTTTTTGACTGCAGTTATTTTTGTACATAATTCTACATTTGTAAGTGAAACTTTCATGATAGAAAAAAAGAGTGCACTGCAGTACTTGTAATGGGGGAATTGAAAAATACTATTTCTTTTGTTTTTTACAGTGCAAATATTTGTAATCAAAAATAAATATAAAGTGAGCACTCTACACTTTGTATTCTGCGTTATAATTGAAATCAATATATTGGAAAGATGCGGAAAAACATCCAGAATATTTAATGAATTTCCATTAGTATTCTATTGTTTAACAGTGCAATTAAAACTGCAATGAATCACGATTATTTTTTTAAAATCGTGATTAATTGTAGAAAACATAAAAAATTAATAAATGGTATTCTATTATTGTTTAGCAGCACGATTAATCACAATTATTTTTTTAATCGCTTGATATCCCTAATCTTTATTTAACAATTTAGGGGGAAAAAAAACAGGATATAATAGATTGAGATTAATTAAAATGTCACAACCCCTTCAAGTCAGCAGGGGGTGCTTAAATCATTTAATAAATGAAGTTTACAGTAGTAAATGAAACTTAACCAATGTACATTTACACCAGCATCAGCTACCCCACCTCTGAGTGTGCACTCCACTGAATTTCAAAGTTCTAGACAATTGCTTGTGTGGGCGCGCTTGGAGACACTGAAGCTGGGGACATCACTCGGTTGGTCCAGTAAAGTAATCCAGCCAAGTCAACGAAGGGCAGAGTGATTCTAACTGTGGATTCACAACCGTTCTGAAGATGGGCGTTGCTATAACCAGAGGTCTGTAATCTTGGATCCTGGTTAGACAAGACCACTTTTCAGCCACAAGGAAACCCCACTTAAAGTCTTTTCATCACCCCCTTTTCCTTGAAAGCACTTTCCTAAATAAACAAACAAACAAACAAAAGAAGAGTTGTGGTTACTCACACTGCTTTCACTGCATCCCAGACTCAGTCAGTTCTCGCCATAGCAACAGTCTTTGCCTGGGCTCTGATGAAGCTCAATAATAGCTTCCTTGACTCCCAACTTGGTCAAAGCCCCAGCAGTTTCTCAGCACCAGCTACTAGCTTTCTAGCAGGAGCTTAGCTCCACAAAGCAGTCTCTTCCATCCCCTGATCATGGGACCGATAACACAGTCTCAGCACCCAAGTCAGAATAGGGGACCACAGCAGCAGGCTCGTGCCCTGCTTGAATAGAGCTCAGACAAGACTCCCTACAGCTCAGCAGCTACTCTTTTTTAACTTTATTTTTTAAGTCCTCACAAAATGGAGCCCATTGAAACAGAGGCAGGGAAGTCTGTCTCTTCCCCAAAGTATCATGGGATTTGTAGTCTTCAAGGCTGGATCACAGCACCTGGGATCTTCCTGAGTGGAACACCCCCAATTAAGTTCAGAGGTCCCTTTCATGGAGATGCCTACACTTAAATATAACTGTACAATTGTTATTGTATCTAACAGTTGTTATCTTACTGATTTTCATATGGGAAGCATCAACACTGCAAATAAGGTGTGTGAGTTCTGATAAAATGTTTGGAAAAAGAATGAGGTTTCAACAGCTCTCTTTACCATCGAAATGGACATAACACTCTAATGACAAATATGAAGTTTAAATAATGAAAAAGACATTCCATGTTTCTTTATTCTGATGCAGATGTACCTGGAACATTATAGAATATGAGTATTTTATTTCTCTCCTCTTGCTAGTTCTCATATTAAATGAGGGAGTGAAATATGCAATTCTTATAATCTAGTGAGGTGTCTTCTATTTGATCAGCTAGCTATGGTAATGCTCTTAAGCCAATCTCCCCCATACAACCACAAAAATATATATGTATGACTTGCTACTTGTGTCATTTTCTGATATCATATGTAAGCAGAGTCAGGATGAGCTCTACCCTGACATCTGGTGGTGAATTATGGCGAGTGTGGAAAAGAACTCCAGGGGCTGATCTTGTTTGCACAGGCACACCCACTCGCCTGGCATGAAACAACAGCAACTGAAAGTGGTTACTCTGGCTGGTGTGGGATCCCCAGTTTCTCTGTTATTGGGGCAGGAAGAATAAAGTTTTGTTACCGTGATTCTGTGAATCAAGGCCAGTGGAACTGTTGTATGACAGAAGAACTGAGTGAGTCCTTCACCATTACCTAAGTAGCACTTGCTTGACAAGGGGCATGGGTTACAAAACCCAGTGAATTGAGAGAGGATGGGGACAGGAATTTGTACCTGATGGTATGGGCCCCCTCTGAGGGTTTGAAACACCAATTGCGCTACCTCCTCTCTCCACTGTTGAAATTTGATTCCATTAGGAGTCTAGTTACAGGCTGCTGAGCTGAATTCACTTTGGGCCAATGGTGCACCAGCACTGGGGCTCCCCTACTATGAGCTGAAATCACAAGAGAGCTAAAGTTATTAAGAGCTAAGATCACTGAGTGCTGTGTTAACTAGTGGGGGAGCCTGAAGCTATATTGCTAAGCAGCTGGCGGAGCAATTTGTGGGGACGACTGGAGGAGCAGCGAGCGGTGCGGAGCCTTGTGGGGCCGGTTGGAGCGGCCCAAGGAACGGCGAGCGGAGTTGTTTGTGGGGACGGCTGGAGCGGCTCACAGATCGGTGAGTGGAGCGGAGCAGCTTGTAGAGCGGAGCAGTTCGTGGGATGGCAGGAAGTGGACTGGCTTGTGGTGAAGGCTGCGGCGGAACCCCCACGGAAAAACAGATGGCCGGCCAGCCTCGGATCACGTAAGGTGCCCCTTAACACCCTGCATGCCCCCCCCTTTTACTCTGGGGCTGCACTGACCAGGGACAGAGACTTTGGGGTTTGTTGGACTTTTGGGACTTTGGGTGGTTGCTGGACCCAAGAGACTTTGGGGGTGTTGGACTTTGGGGACTCTGGGTGATTTTTGGGTTGCTGGATTCAAGAACCAAAGGGAAAGGACACAGCCCAATTTGCTGGGGTGGGTTTTTTTTGCTCATGGTTTGTGTTATGAATCCTGTTTGTGGTGTTTTTTCCAATTTAATGCTGATGTCGTTTACCTCATGTTATTAAACATTTTCTGCTACACTCAGACTCCGTGCTTGCGAGAGGGGAAGTATTGCCTCTTAGAGGCACCCAGGGGGTGGTATGTAATTATCCCAGGTCACTGGGTGGGGGCTCGAGCCGGTTTTGCATTGCGTTATTGAAACGGAACCCCTAGATACAGATCCCGGCCCTTGTTGCTGCCAACTTAGATGGGCAGAAGGGTTACAATATACTATTTGTTTAATGAAATTAATTTGAAATTAAATTGCAAATATTTCCTCTTTTTTTTTGCATTTACTTTCTTCCTGTTTGATATTGCTTCTGGAATTGAAAAATGTTGAGCTGCTGTTTGCTTGGAGTGTGTTACCTTCTTGATGGCTCTTTGGCATAAATATTATTTATATTACAGAAAGAAGGCAGAAACAACAACAGGACCATGTTCATGTGTTAAGATGGGTTTGAATATTTTAAAATGAGAAGTTATAAATAAGAAATACATTTGATAAATACAGTATCAGGAATCTTTTCATAATGAGACCTCCAATGCATTTAAAAAGGGAAAACTTTTATAATATTAAAAAATGGTATTGTAGATACAAATTTGTTGTTCCTTTTCGAACAAATCTGAAATGCTAATCATTTATGTGCACTTTATTTGATTATAAAGTACGTAGTAACTAATTTTTCAGTTCTGAGTTTTCAATCAATATAATTTTAAAAACAAACAACCACTCATGTTTGCCTAATTACCCATTGGACACTGTGCAGGCCTCCTACTTGACTACATCACTGCTGATGGGATTGACAATCCACCAACAGAAAAGAGTGGTTGTTCTGTAGAGATAACTCTATATATAGGGAGTAGTCAGAGGTGAAAGTAACTTAAATTACTTACCGGTACACAGGGTGCCGTGGGGGTGGCTCTGGCCCCCCAGAAGTGTTGGGGTCTTGGGTGGAAGGGGCGGGGCCTCTGGTGGAAGAGACGAGGCTGGGGCCAAAATCCCCCAGCTAGCCCTTCAGCGCTGCCTGGCCTGTGCCACCCAGGGCTTCGGCGGCGATTTAAAGGGCCTGGGAGCCCTGGGCCCTTTAAATCGCCGCCAGAGCCGTGGGGGCTGGGAGCCCAGGGCCCTTTTAAATCGCTGGGCCCCAGGGCAGTTGACCGTTTTGCCCTCCCTCCTCCCCCATCAGCAGCCCTGCCGGTATGGTTGGCACTTTCTTGACGGTATGCTGGACCAGACCAGACCAGCTTACTTTCACCTCTGAGAGTAGTTCTTCGTCATTATAGAGTACTGTGTCCAGTCCTCTTAAATTGACGGGAAGATCAATGAGATACAGAACATATGAAGTATGAATTGAGGAATTTAAAAGGAAGAAAATGTTAGGCTCCTATGAGCTTTGAGGGGACCTAAAAGAACCGCAGGACTAATCTATCAAACATTTCCATGTGTACGCAAAATTGACTTTGCATTTGCTTTCTTTTTGTAGCAAAACTACGTGAGTCCTGCTTTGATCCTGGGAATGTAATGAATGGCACAAGACTTGGAATGGATTATAAACTGGGATCAACAGTCACATATTACTGTGATGCAGGTTATGTTCTTCAAGGGTATTCTACACTTACCTGTATTATGGGAGATGATGGAAGACCTGGGTGGAACAGAGCACTACCCAGCTGTCATGGTAAGAGCTGTATTTTCTGCAGTTATTTCATGACTTGCAAGAGACACAAAAGTGAAATATAAACATAATATTTATATTATATAGTGATTTTAATAAACCTTTTTATATATTTTCCCCTTTAGGATGTATACCCTTTTCTTCAGGGTACCATAAGCAATATTGTATGAAAGAGTAAATATAATATCCATTGACAAAAGTTTAGAAATGTGGGGATTTTATTGATTCACTTAGTGCTACTAGATTAATACAGTAGCAAATAATTACTACTGACGATTGTCAGTGGTACTATGCAGGGTGGTAAACATTTGTGTTATTGAGCTCATCAGTCTTTGACAAACGTATGGTAGAATAGAATATTATGTACACACAATGATGTTTGCTTAAATAGACCATCAATTTATACTCTTAATTTTAATAGTACTTAAAATATTAGTTCTTAGGATACTCAGTGCATTATTGCTCCACTTTTTGTTTATGATCAAAATATTATATTGTATAATTTAACATATTTTATGTGAAGTTTCTAGGAAAATTTAATCTAAAAAATTGAAAATACATTATGGGCAGTACTCCCTTGACTATCATGTGCATATGTGTTTGCAGGATTAGGCTTTAAATATGAGGTCCACTTTACCAGTATGCTGCTAACTTTCCATAACAATTGATAGACACTTCAAAGCAAGCCAGTATAGCTTTGACATGTCCTTCACCATTGGACCCAAAATCTGTGTCTCCTTCTGGTGTTACTTAAATTTTAATTAAATAGATTATTTACATAAAAATGCTAAATTATTAAATTGAAGTTGTTGAAAATATAGTTTATATTACATAAAGGAAAATGAAATATCCATGATATAAGCTTCCCATGCTGTTAGATTTGTAGTGTCTCATTTTGAATCTTCTTGCTGCAGGGCTGCCCGGGGGGAGGAGGTGGGGGGCAAGTGGGGCAATTTGCCCCAGACCCCGGGCCCCGCAGGGGCCCCCACAAGAGTTTTTCGGGGCCCCTGGAGCGGGGTCTTTCACTCGCTCTGGGGCCCCCGGAAAACTCTCGTGGCGCCCGGGCCCCCAGAGCTTCTTCCACTCTGGGTCTTCGGCGGCACTTCAGCGGCGGGGGGTCCTTCTGTTCCGGACCCGCTGCTGAAGTGCCCTGAAGACCCGCAGTGGAGGGTCATTCCACCCCGGGACCCGCCGCCGAAGCGCCAGGTCTTCAGCGGCCCCTGCTGCCGAAGACCCCAGGCCCCCTGAATCCTCTGGGTGGCCCTGTCTTGCTGACATTGTGCTAAATTCAGAACTGATGTAAGGAGGTATGAATCCATTGGATTTCACACTAAGTCTTGCATATTTAGTAGGGACAATGATGCTAAATTGTTATTGCCACTCCAAATGCATATATGCTAAATAGTAATATGTGTTACCAGTGTTGTCTCTTTTTATATCTGTGTATGATGTTATGAACAAGTAGAACACTGGGGGCAGGGGAAGAGGAAAAGAAGACGATGATGATGAACTGACATCAAAACAGAAAAAAAGTGATTTACTGACTGATGAAAGAAGGAATATGAAGCGTAAGGATTTAGGGAAATTACCCATGATTTTTAGGATTACCCATGATAATGTTACAGCATTAAAACACCAGTCTTCACTTCTGGAGCATCGAGATGTTAATGCTGTGGTATACAGGCCGTAATAAGCTCTGTAGGAAAAATGTGTTACAGCTTGGGAAACATGGAGCAGTGTAGGGCAAACAGAAGTTTCTTCCGAGCAAACCCTTTCTTCGTTTTTAAATGACACTTGGGATTTTTTTTTTCAAGTTTAAGAAAGAGAGAGAGAGGAAGAAAAAGGTTTTTCTTTTACATGGATAGAATGGATGATGCTATAATTGTGGCCATTAGTGCCGCTATACTCTGGTTAATGGTTTGTAACAGCTTCAAAATCTTCCATATTTCCAGGGGGGGTTAACTCAGCATGTCTGTAATGAAGAGAGAGACTTTTTTTGCTTAGGAGAAAAAGGTGCAATTTTATTAAAAAATAACCTCATAATAGAATGGGTGATGGTCAGTCCTTGCTCATTCTAACCAAATCTAGTTCTCTAGGTTGGCTGAAGACCTTAAGGTCCTTCAAGCACACATAGTACTTAGGTTCCATATTACCCTGACATCCCTGCATAGATTCTGGCCACCAGAATGATGCCGTATGATAAGCCCAGTGGGAGGTACTTACCCTTATAATGGTCAGTTGTGCCTAAACTCCGTGGCCTGTTCAAGTAAACAGATCTAGCTAGCATACTGGTTTCCTCCCAACTGATAAAGCCTTATCCTATAGCTGTTACTTTGCTTGTGGTGCAGTATGATCTATTTTAGCAACAGATGACTAAGGAGTTCTACCTTTTGGTAATGTTATGTAAGAAAATTAGAATATTTATTTATTTACATTGAGCATGGGGGAGAAGGAGAAGAGGAGGACAGCAGGAGTGGAAGCTTTACGTTGTCACTAGGGCTGGGCAGAGGAAAATCAGGGAGCTGTGATTGGGTCCCCGTCAGTTCCCATTCTTTACTGCACCCAAGCGTTGCTCAGCTGTAGAGGAGAATTGGGCCTCCTCAGTCCTGCCAGTTTTATATTTGAAGTTGCATTCGTAAAGCTGACGTTGTTTCAGTACAGATACGCAATGCATCTGGTCACATTTTTTTTTATGATCTCTAATTATTTCCTTGTAATCTAAACCTTGTATTCAGGGGTTGATAGCTTTTTTTGTCCTTCCGTTTTTTTGAATATTTTGCTCAAATGGTTCTCTGCATTAGGTATGACTTGCCTTTGTCTAAAAACCTTATTTCAAATGTCCTTGAAATATCTCTAATAGGTATGGGATATGAACCAAGTCCACAATCTCATTCTATTATGAATGCGTGTAAAGATTATCCAGTCTAATACCCCAAGCCATTTGGCATTTGATGATGGCTGTTACGAACAGGATATGATTAAAGGATGCAGATGAAACATTCATAAAATGAAAGCTGATAAATAATGATTTTTGTCAACTTTACTAAATATAATTTCATCAGCATTACATAATATTTTAACTTTTGCCTGGCTAATATCAGTTGTTTAAAAGTTAGTATGTTGTGCTCAGCACAGTGGAAAACCTTATATCTTACTGAGAAGAATATAAATAAATAAAATAAAAAATATATGGAGATATACCTATCTCATAGAACTGGAAGGAACCCCAAAAGGTCATTGAGTCCAGTCTCCTGCCTTCACTAGCAGGACCAAGTACTGATTTTGCCCCAGATTCCTAAGTGGCCCCCTCAAGGACTGAACTCGCAACCCTGGATTTAGCAGGCCAATGCTCAAATCACTGAGTACATGTGCGCGCATACACATGTTATAGATAAGTCATGTCACCATCCAAGGTCGCAGAGGGAATCACTGTGCCAATGCTAGAAATCGGGTCTTGTAATTCTGAGTCTCATGGGCCTTACAAACCTATACACAATTATAGAGTTTAAGTCAGGAGATTTGTTTGTTTTTTAGTTTTTTCTCTGACACTGACCCCTTGAGTGATCTTGGGTAGGTTCCTACCCTTCTGTGTATTTGTTTTTCATGCCTGTAGTATGGGGTGAATACTTACCGTATCTATCTTGTAAAGTGTTATATGTGATACACTTTTCAGTGGAAGGCTCTATAGATGTGCTAAATAATATTTTTTTTTATTTTACTATATCATAAAACATTACATGTGCCAATAAACAATTGATAACTTTCTCAGCAATACTGAATTATTACCTATTAAATTAGAAGCTCTAAATGTGGCACTTGTATTGAGTTTTTACATAGTGCAACTATGGTACTTACCCACTACCTTTCTTTGAAATAATGACCATATATGCAACACATTATTTGCATCACTAGATCATAGCAGAATATAGTATTTTGTGCCACATTCTGTAAAAGGTCTTGAACAAAATATTATTTTGGCCCTTATTACCAATTAAAATACAGAGGATCATTAAGACTGGAGAAATGTTCCTGCTTCAGGCAAATATAAGCAAGTAATAAACAGGCATTATGCTAAAATTCTTCTCAGTTCAATTTTTACTTAAGGCTGGTAGTTAAAGATGAGACTGAGTTCCTAGATAAACTAATTATAATCCTTAATAATGCTCAACTATATTATAATACACTCCAGATGGAATTTGACACATAGTTTCACCCCTGACAAATGTTGCTTATGAGAGAAACAGAGCAGAATTTTCATTGAATTTTATATTATCTTCAGATTAATGTTTTTAACAAAGCGATACATGGAAGCTTGCATTTTCTGTATCTCCTTCATTCTAGAGTTCAACAGAAGTACATTTATTATTTTCCCAAATCCAAAACTGATGTGTTTTTATTATTATTTATTTCTACATAAACAATTCACGGACAGAGTTTCAAAGTCACAAATAGCTGTTAGATGCCTAACAATTACTGACTTACATTTGTCCTTCTGAAAATCAACCCTTTTATAAAAACTTTATATATCTCAATCTCTATCTCTATATATGCATTTATATAGATATATAGATATATAGATACACATACACACAATTATGTTAAACCATCACATGTCTGTTTTGTAATTAAGAGAATGGACCTAATTCTAATCTCATTTGCACCTGTGTAACTGAGATCAGAATCAAGCATTATTTTATGTGATGCAGGTAGAAAAGCTGCCTGACACTTTTTATTACGAGACTCTGTTTTCAGTTCCTTATAACTTTGCCACAATTTAATGATTCAGGCCGAAATGTTACATATGAGGTGTCTGCCAAAAGTGTTTTTTTTTTTTTTTTTTTTTAAAGTTTCATCTAAACCAGTTCAGTTGTTTCCAAGAACAAAGTTAGGGAAAATTACACATGCTCAGTAAAGACTTGTCACAGTTTGGCAGTTAAATTATCTGCGTATTCTGTCTGCCCTGATGATGCTTCATCCCAGTAGAATGCCTATGTGATCATGTATTCACTGTCCGTACGGAGTGACTAAGCATGTGCCAATCCAGGAATGCAGGATTTCCCTACATTTGTTCTTCCTGATAGCTGAGGCCTGCTGTGTCACCAGACACAGGAACGAAAGCAGGAAGACTGACTCTCCTGTATTCTCAGTGCTCACACTGCTGGTGCCCAAGCAAGGTGGAGGAGGAAGAAGTTGCCACACTGGAGGGGAAACAGGAAAGCAGGTTGCAGGAGCCAAACCATAGCAGTAAGCAGCAGTGGACAGGAGCTGTTGAGGGTGCATAGGAACTGTGGGGAAGAGGGGTAATAGGCACACAAAGAGGGCTGAGTTAAGAGGTGGGGATAGAATTTGGATATCAGCAGAAGGGGAGCAGGATTTGTTGGGTGGGGTTTGGATAGGAGCAGAGAAGTTGGGGGGCAAAGGGGGCAGGACCTGGGATAGGTGGCTAGATGCAGAGACAAGCTGGGGACACAGGGACAGAAGGTTCTATAACTGCTAGAAAACACCCCTCTCCAGATCCTGGAATTGAACCCAGGAGTCATAAATTTCTATCTTCCTCTGCTGTCAGCAAGAGATATGAAACCACTGACAAAGTGTGTGTCAAATCCTGCTGTAGTGGCTGGTCCACAAAAAGGATAAGAACATTCTAATGCTACCAGTTACTTCATTACCTCAAGTGGTAGAGGTCTCTGCTGTGGTTCTAAAAGTCAGAACCTTGATGATGGCCCAAGTGGAGTATGATTTCACATGATGGAATTTCTGGGGGGGGGGGGGTTAATTCAGTTTTTCTTTTAAAAATATATAGTTTGTAAAGTCCAGCATCCAAAAGCTTAGGAAATGCCAGAATTAGGGTTGTCTGTATATCCTTAATTCAAATCCCTTTTGTATATGCTCTAGGATACTGTCTTTAATTACATGATTACACACTATTTTCCCCACAGAACCTCTGTCTCACTCAAAGCACAGAACAGACTGTGCTCTGGGAGTGAATGAAGCTGTTGTTTGTAAGACCCCTGGCTTATTTGTTATAGGAGTTGGAAGGAGTAGTGAATAAGGCATGGGATTACAGAAGACAAAGGATGGCTTCATGGTTAAGGAAGTTGAATGCCTCTCTGAAGAATGGGATTCTGCCCCTGCCACTGAGTTCCTATGTGAATCTGGGTTTAACCATTTAAGCCAAACACTTCAACCAAAATTATCACAGTTAGCTACTAATTATGCGTTCCTCATTTTCTGGTGCCCAACATGAGACATCTGTGGCCAGAAATGCAGAAGAGCACGCACAACTGTAACTGAATTCAGTTGAACCTATGCATTGAACATACAAAGTGTTATTAAAATTATAAAATAAGAGAAATGTAAGAATGGAAGGAATCTGGAGAGGTCATCTACTACATCCTCCCACTCTGAGGCAGGACCAGGTGTACCTAGTCTATCCCGAACAGGTGTTTGGCCAAACAATTCTTAAAATGCTAAGTACTCTGGGGAAAGTCAGATTCAAGGGGCCTGATTGCTAAAGATATTTAGTCAGCTAAAGTTTCACATAGACACCTAGTGGGATTTTGATTTCAATGGGAGTTAGCTGTCTAGCGACTTTAGAAAATCTCGCTAAGTGACTATTTGAATCTTTATGTGCCTAAATACCTCTTAAAATGTGAGCCTAGGTTTCTCTGGTAGGGCACCTGAAAGTAGTCAGCACTTTCACTGAATGAAGCAGAAGTCCTGTGGAAAAAAAACAGTATGTGTTGATTAAATTGAAGACTGTATTTTAAATGCATAAATACAAAAAGGGGAAATTCTGGCATTTGCTAACATCGGAGGGTTTGCTTTTGCAAGATTAGCATTCTTTTAACATACTTGTTTCATTGATGTGTATGGGTGAAAAAATAAATTGTATATATATGGAAAAAAGTGATTATGTAAGAATCTCAACTCTTATCTAGTAATAATAGGTGATAATAAAAATCAACCCTGTATGCTGGCAGCAAAAACCTTGACAATATGATTAGAGTATACCCTAAAGACTGAAAGAAAAAAAAAAGAAGTTAAATATAAAGTAGACAATTAAAATAATTTCAAAAACCTCATGATTTTAAAGTCAATATCATGGTTTTCGGGGCCTGATTCATTATTTCAATAATGCTTTATAATATTTTACAGAATAGGAAATGCTGTGGGAAATTGTTCCAGACTCCCATTAAATAATATGCTAGTGTAATATAATGGCAAATAAAACATGAAATGAAGAATACTAATTTGTAA